ATTTGGTGCTTTGAAATCGGATAAAGATATATATGAGAGCTATATCCAAATCTGAACCGATCTCGATAAAATTTTTTCAAAGATATTCCTGAGCTGTATTTGATATATTTCCCTGAATATCGTTGTTTCGGAAGGCATATTTCGGTTGTGGGTGACAAATATAACAAATCGGATGAATAATATATATGGAAGCTATAGCTATATCTGAACCGATCTACACCAAATTTGACATACTAGCTTCTAGACTCAATTCGGTCGTAAGTGCCAAATTCCATCCCATTTGGACAAATATTAGACGTTTGGTGCACAATAAAAGGTAAATTGGACGAAGTTGTGTATGGGAGCTATATTCAAATCTGAACCGATCTCGATAAAATTTAGCAAATACGTTTCTGAGCTGTATTTGATATATTTCCCCAAATATTGTTGTTGCAGAGTGCATATTTCGGCTGCGAAGAACAAAAATAACAAATCGGATGAACAATATGTATGGGAGCTATAGCTATATCTGAACCGATTTCGATCAAATTTGGCATACTTATTTTCAGGCCTAATGTGGGTGTATATGCAAATTTCAAACAATTCGGGCTGATATTACACGTTTGGTGCACAATAAAAGGCAAATCGGACGAAGATATATATGGGAGCTATATCTAAATTTTGACCGATTATATCCAATTTCAATAGGGTTCGTCCTTGGGCCAAACAAATGATCTGTGGAAAATTTTATCTGGATCGGGCAATAAATGCGACCTGTACTTTGTTTACAAAAATACATGGACAGACGGAAGGACAGACGGATGAACATGCATAAATCGACTCAGAATTTGATTCTATGCAGATCATCAGAAGAAACTATGGGTCTATCTTGACCCATAATACCCTGACCACCTGACGTAATGACGTAAAACCTCGGAAATAGGCAATATATATGATGTTGTGTTATATTTTTCTACACCATCTATTGAGTAAAAGCAACAAAGGAATGTACCTTTTTATTATACCCTACACCACAAGGTATTATGTCTTTGTGGATTTGTTTGTAACAGTGAAAAGGAATCGAAATAGACCCATGGTTCCTTTTGATGATCTGCATAGAATCACATTTTGAATCGTTTTACGCATGTTCGTCCGTCTAGTATCAGTCCATATAGTCGACAATATTTGGAGAAATATATCAAATACAGCTCAGAAATACTTTAGCTAAATTTTACCGAGATCGGTTCAGATTTGGATATAGCTCCCATATATATCTTCGTCCGATTTGCCTTTTATTGTGCTCCAAACGTGTAATTTTATACCAAATGGAATGGAGTTAGGCAAATTGAGTCTAGGAACATGTATGCCAAATTTGGTGAAAATCGGTTCAAATATAACTATAGGTCCCATATATAATGTTCATCCGATGTGTTATATTTGTTCTTCACAGCCGTAATATGCACTCCGTAACAACGATATTCGGGGGAAAATATTGAATATAGCTCAAAAATACCTTTGCCAAATGTTATAGAGATCGGATATAGCTCCCATATATATATTTATCCTAATTGAAAAAGCATAAATACCTCGACAAATTTAGTAGAAATCAATTCAGAGGAGGATATTCCTCTCATATACTAGTTCCTTTAGACTTTAAATTATAACTATTATCATAGTTGGTATGATTTGACTTTTATTTGTTATGTGAAGCTCTACTAAACATGCAAAGTGGTGTAGGGTATCATAAAGTGTGCCGACTTTAAGACTTTCTTTACTGGTTATATTATGTGTCTTTGCATGGGACCATAAAGATTGGGTACAATGCATATGGTGGAGGTCATCTTGAAAAATTAAATTTGTCATTTCGTTTGTAACACTCCTAAATATTCATCGTATTCATGATCAGCATAAAATTCTAGGTCGATCTAGCGATGTCCGTCTGTCTGTCTATTGAAATCACGATACTGCCCACATTATTTGACGTATATGTTCAAAATTTGGCACAACAATTTGTATTGTGTTGGATGGTAGGTATTGAAAATGATATATCGGTCCACGTTTTGGTATAGCCGCCATAAAACGGTGCCTCCCGATATTCGGTATTTTGATGATTTTCGTCACATTTTTTCACGGATTTGTCCAGAATTGGGTATTTGTAGATCATAATGGGTTCTAGCTCCGTATGTATGGGTCGACGTTGTATGTGTGGCTGCACGTTTTCGTATAGCCGCCATAAAATGGTACCTCCTGATATTTGATATTTTTATGATTTTTGCTACATTTTTTCACGGATTTGTCCAAAAATTGGTAATTGTAGTTCGCAATGGGTTTTGACGACGTGGCGGAACATAGGTCCATGTTTTGGTTAGCCCCCATATAACGTTACCTCCCGATAGTCGGTGTTTTGCCACATTTTTCCAAACTTGGCATTTGAGAAGATTTTGTAGATGACAATCCTTGAAGTAAAAAATTGCTATGGAGGTTACCACTTTAGCATGGCCCGCATACAACGGATTCGACCTCTTTATGGTTTTTTTTGAAAAGTTTAACAGCATTATCCAAACCGTCTTACTGGTATTTGTATTTTAAAGTTTGAATTCAGATATGTTATATTAAATATATTAATAACTAGCTGGCCCGGTCCGCGTTGCCGGCCCGTAGTTTTTGTCTATTATGCATATTTGTCAAAGCATAATTATTCACAGATATGACTGATATAAGTGTTCCCGTACTGGTCGATTAAAAATGATTTAAAATAGCTGTACCCATATTTGGAATTTGCTGTATTTTGTACACCTCATAATTGAGCGCTGAATGAATTAAGAATAGCCAAAGTTAATTACTTTTTTAAGCCATTAGCACCTCAGATTGTCCATTAGCGTTCTTATAAGTCCCCCTAAGGGGGGTACTATTATATGGAAAAAATTCTAAAATTTGTAGATATGTTCATATTTTTGTGTAAGTTTTCACCCCCCAAATACACATTTTTAGCCAAATCCTTTGAAATATGGTACAATCAGGAGATACTTTTATATGGGCACTACTCCGAGACATCGACCTACATTGAAAACATTCTTCTAACCCTTATAATCCAATATGACAAATAGAGACCAAATCAAAAATTTAACAGAACAACATAGCATGTCAAACTGAAAAACATTCCGCGTGATTTAAATGAGTAAAAATAGTTTTATCCACCATATTATCATATAGATGTATTTCCCAAATCTACCTTTCCAACCAATATTCTCTTGAGAGTTACAAATTCAATAGAATACAAACTTTTCTTTTCTGACCACACATTATATGTGAAAGTGGACTTGGGGATACTCCAATGTGGGGACTTTACTTAAATAAATTCCTATGTGGCAATTATCTGTATGATGGTTCCCTAACCCCTTAGAGACAAAGATGCCAAATAAGGGCCAAAATATGAAAAAAGTGGCCAAGACCCCAAAAATAGCTTAAATCGATATCATGACCTGCAAAAGTGATTTAAGGTATCTTGAATGTTTGGGAAGAATTCCTGGAAGGATAGAAATCCTTTTCTTACTAAAAGTCCCATTCGCTCTATTATTTTGCACCCTTTAAATTTGGTATTTTACTGATTGTACTTCCAAAGAATTTTGCATTTTGAGCTCTCATTGGACGGATTATTGTCACATGAAAGAAGTAGGTCCACGCTTTGAAATGAGCTCCATTAGGCTTTTTCTGTCATTTCTTGTTGTTTAAATGTGTTCGCAAATACAAATTAAAAAAATGACAAAAGAAGAATAACAAATTGAAAAAATCTTCAACTTGTTCGCTGATACCACCATTTACCCATACCCAAATGTTTAAAGACCCTTACTATTATTTTAAAATTCGATTCCACTGAAAATTTTTGCAATGAGATCTCTTTTTCGTGATTTTTTAGCGAATTTGAAAAAGTAATTATCTTTTAATTAATAATTATCTTTCTTTTGGTGTGACCGCGTTAAATTATTTCGATATCATCTATTCCGTTTCGCCACCATATAATTCGGTATTACACTTCCATGTAACCCGCCATCAATTTCAGTTCTCAAGAAATCAAGTCAATTAAATAAATTGGTTTTAATATTCGAATTCAAAAATAAAATATAAAAAACACTACAAATGTACATTAGAAAAAAGCCAGTCAAAATAGAAAAAAATCATGCAAAATAAAACATTACTATTGTACATTTGAAAAGTCAAAATGAAAATGTTAATATATCACATTTTTACGCGATTTTTTTGGATATTATCCTTTTCGGAGAGGAGACAACTCCGAATTTGTGTGGATCGTTAAAATCAGTCCAGCGGTTCTTAAGTTATAAGCGTAGTAACTAACACAACTTACATTTATATATATAGATATTTTGACCGACCACAAATCCGTTTAAAGAGAGTCAAAACAAAATGTTTAAAATGAGCCAAAACTCATGGACTTCAAGTCCATTAATTGTAGATTTTGTGACCAAAAATTAGAATTTCCCAGAAAAAAATGGGATTCAAAAGCATTTTTATGAATTTTCTGTTTTTGGTATGGAAAAGACATTGCACCTATTGGATGTGATTTTTATGCCCTCCACTATAGTATGGAGGGTATATTAAGTTTATTTGGTATTTCTTTAGTGCCATATAACGGTACCTCCCTATATTCGGTATTTTGATGATTTTATCGACATTATTCACCGGAATTGTTTCAAATTTCATATTTAAAATTTCCAATGACAAAAAAGTGTCTATGTGTCAGCATTTTGAGACTTTACATCTGCAGGTGACCAAAAGAGGGAGGAGAAGTAGTGCCTATGTTCTAATTTTTTGAAAAGTTCAGATAGTAAAATATCAGATTCTACAAAATTGTTTGTCATAAAATGTTATTGTAGTTCTCGGAATACATAAAAACATTAAAACTTATTTAAAAATACGTTTTAGGGATAAAGTCAGTTTAAAGGAGGATTATGTGAAAGCTAATAATATTTCACATAAAATTTAACTATGAGCCGCAAAAGACATTCAATCTATATTTTCTTTATTTATCAAGAAAATATCTTATTCAAATTTGCATTAAATCAAAAAATATTTCCTAACAAATTCAATTCACAGTATTTTTATTGATCCATTAAAGTACAAGCAGATTTCGATTTCAATATCTTTTGATCTCCCAAGTAATCTTCGGAACGCTCATGTTCTCTTATCCTCACAAGTTGTGTGTCCATTGCCAATACCCGCTGCATAGGCCATTAGATGTGGCAGAGTGTGTTGTTCCATTACACCACGAAACAAATGTTCGTAAGGACCAGACGCAAAGACACCCACATCATCACCACCATGGACACCCATTTCCGATTTGATGTAACTCGGATGGACAACCCAACGGTTGTTATCGAGAAACTCTGACAAATTCAAACGTGTACCTCTATCATCTAAATATTGCTGAGGACCCAAGGCATAGTTAAGAGTGGCAAAAAATTGGCCATTGGCATCTGGAAAGGAATAATCGATGCCCAAAATATCATTTCCACGATTTGAAAAACCTGCAATACTCAAGGGATGAGCATGATCAGCACTGACCACAATCAGTGTATCATTGGGATTGGTCATGGCACGAGCTTTTTGCACCGCCTTATCCAATTCCAAAGTTTCCGAGGTGCTTTGGCCGGGATTTGTGGCGTGATTGCCGTAATCGATGAGACCAGCTTCAATGAAAATAAAATATCCTTTGGGATTTTTACTCAATAGCTTTAGGGCTACCTCAGTCATTTCCTTGAGGCTGGGTTGTTTCTTGTGGTCGGCGTTGGAATGGAAATCCATGACACCCGACTGAAAGAGACCCATTATGTGTTGAACTTTCTTAACATCCACTTTTAATAAACTTTGACGATCTGTTACCACCACACCCTTGGGATGTAGTCCCTGCCACTTGGAGAGTAGATTTTTATTGTCGGAACGTTCACCCATCTTTCCGTGAGAATCTTTAAGGGTTTTGGGCAAAAATTTACCCATACCACCACCCATCAGGATGTTGAAATGTTTTCCCGGTGCTTGAGTCACCAGCTGTTGGGCAATGTCCTTGCATTGACTGGTGTCTGCCAAGCCAGTCCAGGTGGTGATATCACTGTCGCATTCCCAAAAACGATTTGCCACATGAGCATAGCTGCCAGAGGGACTGGCGTGAGTCAGGGTGGTGGTGGTAATAAAACCTGTTGATTTCCCTGCCTTTTGAGCCCAATCGGCAATGGAGGATACATGGTTTTTGGGATTCATACTCTCAGTGCAATTGTTATAATTGACCCTGGCACTTACGCCCAGAGTGACAATATTTGCTTTAACGCCACACATATAGGCTGTGGAGGTGCAGGCGGAGTCTGGTACTTGGGCATTGGCGCAATAGGTCTGTGGAAGGCAAGAAATAAAAACTATTATTTTAAAATTTCAAAAACTTCCTCATTACCACTTACCTTGCTTAGCCCTACATAGGGAAACTTTTCAAAACTCAGTTGTTCTTCCTCCCCCGGTTTGCCCTGCAATTGACCCTTTAGTATCCGCGCACTGGTCATTGTGGTCAAGGACATACCATCGCCCAGAAAGAATATAACATTTTTGGCTTTATGTGTGTTCAAGCGGGTTTGAGTGCGTTCCAGCAATTGCTCCCGAGCCACATTTAGCCAATATTCCCTGTTCCGTTCATGTGGTGGAGTTACTTTGCCAGCCGTCAGCCGCCCTCCCAAATCGGAATTTCGAAGAATTGTTGATGATACCCTTTTGGTGCCTGCATGAATATCTCGAAATTGCCTTCCCGCCGCCAAAGCAATCAGTAAAATAAAAATTGCTAATGCCTGCATCTTGAGCTGCATTGCAGTAATTACTGTAGCGTGAGCATCTGATATCGGATACTTTTATACATTTGAATACACAAATGCATTTACATATACATGTTTTATACATTGTCTCATTTGGTTTTTATTATATCTACACATTATTCGGATATTTGGGCTATTGTAAAAGAGGCGGTCGGCAATAAAGCAGATGTTGTGAATAAAATCCACCATCTGCCTGGGTTTATGACTATTGATAATACTTTTTTATAATACACGCTTAAAGAAATTATCAGCAGATGAGGAACTTTGGACGGTACAAAATAGCCGAAATGTGTGCGGGAAGATAATTAATGTTCCCCATTACAAAATAATGAGTGTTTGAGTTGAAATTTAAGATATCTGGAATTCCATTTTAGAACACAGGGACTATCGGAGTTGATCTTAACCTATTTATTTATATATTTCTATCAAACTTAAGTCAAATCTTTTAAATATACAAAACAATGGCCAATTTTTGTTTGTCATCCGGTTGTAACACCTCGAAATATAAATTTTAGCCCCCACAAAGTATATAGGGTGAGATGAAAAAACTGCAACCAACTTCAAACCGCAACAGAAAGAAAATAGACTCAAAAGAGCTAAAGAGTTGCTTCGCTTGGTCGAAAGTGGTAAACTGCCGAATTTGGTTTTCTCCGATGAGAAAACATTTGTTGTCCAGTAGTGTTTACTTGCCAAAGAGGTCAGCTGAAAATGTGCACCTTCGGTTGGTCACCAGAACTCAAGAGGCGGCCATGGTGATGGTGTGGGCCGCCATAACAGCCGATGGTCGCTCTCCCCTCGTATCGACCGTGGCATCAGAATAAATGCCGAATATTATCGCAGAAATATTTGGAGGGTGTATTAAAGCCTTGGGCATGCAAACATTTTGGCCGCAGACCTCGGACATTCCAACAGGACACAGCACCATCGCATTCAGCACGCGCCACCCAAGAATGGTTACAAAATGAGGTTCCTTGCTTCATTTCCAGCTCACAATGGCTACCAAAATCTCCGGATACCAATCCGTTGGTCTATTGTGTCTGGAGTATTTTGGAAAGCACACATAAAATACCAAACTTTCGATCACCTCAAGCAAGCGCTTCACCGGAAATGGGCCAAAAAAAACCGCAGAGCAACATTCGTTCAGTGTGTGACGGTTTCATTGGCCGTTTGAAGGCCATAATTCGTGCCAAAGGTGACAAATTCGAACAAATCTTAACTTAATCTAAAATTTAACCAATTTCCGACATTTTTGCTTTCATTTAATAAAATTAAAAAAATGTTAAAATTATGGCCTTTGTCTTTGTTGCAGTTTTTTTATCTCTGTATCCCTGTAGTTTGAAGAAAATTACTAGCATCGATATTTGTTACTATTCATCATTACGACCCTCTGTGGAAGCGGTATCAGAAGTACTCAACCGACTTCGTTTCACATCTGACCTGATTCAAATATTAAGATGCTTCAACGAAATCGGATACCCCGGATAAGATAAATTATTCGTTTTTGTCGGAAATGTTGACCTTTTGTTGGAGGATCCAATTTTCTCCATCTCTACGATGTACCAAGTTCGGATACTTCCATCTAGAGTTATGGTGCACATCAGTACCAGACAGAAGAACATGGCTAGATCGGTCATACAGAAGAACATGGCTAGATCGGCACCAAATATCCTCAAACGGATTTCCCCCTAAAAATGCTTTATTTTGGTGAAACATATTTTGGCAGTATCAAATTATATATACCTTTGTTCCATTGAGTTGAACATTTTTATTACGAAAGTCGCCTTAACAAGGCAAAACTCAAAAATTCAGCCGAGCCTGGCTGTGGGATTTGAACCGCGGACCTCGGTGTGCAGCCAACTAGAAGTTGCCGTCTCTAGTGTATGCATTGGAAGCAATGTAGTTGTTGTGGACAAAAATTCCATCACTACAAAAACAAAAACATTGCTGTGAAAAAGATCTGCCAATAGAACTTGAGTCGAACCTGGAGAGTTTCTAGTGTATAATTCGCATATGCTAATTTGCAATACTACTTTCCAGAGAACGGCCCTTGTAAGCCATCATCCACACCAAATATGCCTGATGAGCCGCTTAACCAACGGCGAAACGCGTCGCATAGTGGTGAGTGTGTGATAGTGTCTATCTGGCTTTCCTTTTCACTGCAAATTCCTGATCATTAAGCTCGTCTCGAAAGAGAAAACAAACACATAAATCATAAAACATATGATCTTCGCCTTAACAAGGCAAAACTCGAAATTATTTTTTGTTTCACCTCACCTGAATATCTATAGCCTTGTTAATAAAAATATGTCAAGGACCTTGCCCACGTGTTCATATTAAAAATGTCAATATGTCTAGTCGTTATGGTCGTGGCTTTGAAAAACTCACTTATATAGATATAATATATAATTTTATCCATATGCAAATATATATATATAAATAAAAACCAAAAACAGGTAAATATTGCCTTCCTAATTTCAAGATAAAAAGTTTATTACATACGTTTTTGTGACAAATGTTCGGGCTTTAGTATAAATTACCAAAATATAAATCAAATTAAGAACATTTGTTGTCGTGCTCAAGTCCAACCAACATCAGAACGGTTTTCGAAATAACACTGACGACATCATGAGAATCCTGCTGCTCTTGTATTTTTCCATTGAAATAGTGTCTGGCCGATTTTCGAAAGATATTCAATATCATCCTCCCAATCGGTTGGCAGGTCGTGAAACCCCACGCCCCACAACCACTCGTTTCTTTGAAGATGTGGGTAATGGCAAGCCCACACCGGAACATGAAAAGGACCCCGAGTATTGGTATTCTCTGGCCAAATTGGAAATGAATAAATTATTGGAGCAATGTTCGTATAATTATAATAAGGCTAAGAATGTTATTTTCTTTCTTGGCGATGGCATGGCCTTAAATACCCTGACTGCGGCACGCATACGCAAAGGCCAATTGAAGGGTAAGACGGGTGAAGAGGAATCACTGAGTTTTCAGAGGTTTCCTCACACAGGATTGAGTAAGGTAAGCAAGACTCATGCTATTCCAAAATGGAACTACATTATTTTCGAATTTCAGACCTACTGTACCAATGCCCAAGTACCCGACTCCGCTTGCACAGCCACAGCCTATTTGTGTGGCGTGAAGACCCAAATTACTTCCATTGGAGTAACGGCAAATGTTGCCGCCGATAATTGCACTATGAGCATGGATCCCGCCAATCACTTGGAATCAATTGCGGATTGGGCACAAAGGGCTGGCAAGTCCACAGGTTTTATTACAACCACCTCTTTAACTCATGCCAGTCCATCGGGTTTGTATGCCAAGACAGCAAGTCGTTTTTGGGAATGTGATGCAGATATTCCCCAAGAGGTTCAGCGCCAAGGGCACTGCATGGATATGGCTGAGCAGCTGATAACTCAAACACCAGGACGTAATTTCGATATTATGATGGGTGGTGGTATGGGCAAATTCCTGCCTCGGACTATGGCAGATGCCCATGGACATCCCGGGGAACGTTTGGATGGCAAAAACTTGTTACAACTTTGGAAGGAAATTCATCCTGGCGGTGCTCTTGTCACCAATCGTGAAGAGTTGTTGGATTTAAACATTACCCAGGTGACAAAAATCATGGGCATCTTTGCCTCCAGACTGATGAATTATCATGTTGAGGCAAACTCATCGCAAGAACCCACCCTAGCCGAAATGACAGAGACGGCCTTAAAATCTCTCAGTTTCAACGACAAGGGTTATTTTCTGTTTGTTGAGGGAGGCCTCATCGATTATGCCAATCACAACAATAAACCCTTTATTGCTTTGGATGAAACTTTGGAGCTGGAGAAAGCAATTGATGTGGCTTTAGGTTTAACAAATCCAGAGGAAACTTTAATTGTGGTATCATCGGATCATAGCCATCCCATGACTATAGCTGGTTATCCTGGTCGGGGTACAGATATTTTGGGTCTAAATCAACACGATGTCGACAGCAATGGTGTGAAATATACCACGCTCACTTATGCTGTTGGTCCCGAACAGTATTTGGATGAAAATGGTCAGCGCATTGATTTGGAGGACATTATAAAGGAGGATGCAAGTAAGATTTTTTAAACCACCTAAAGGCTAGTGGCTATAGTGGTAAATATAATTTTATAGCCCCAATATAACTGTACAGCTAGATTAACATTTGTTGGGTATTTTAGCCATATTTTAGCCCGCATTTGCTGTAAATTGGCTGTTTGTGTTCCCATAATGTAGCCAACATCCTTGCATAGAACTGTCTATATAGGTTCAATTTTTCGTATATACCCAATATAAATGTACCTACAGATTTTCGTTATTTTAAGGATTAAATACATTTGATATTTGGAGTTCGTAATAGACGCCGCCCTCTCTGACCGAAAATTGGCTATGGAGATCCACGTTTTTCGTAAATCCCCCCATACAACTCTAACTCCATATATTCGGTATTTTGTTGATTTCCCATACCACCACCCATATTACGGTACCTCCAAATATTCGGTATTTTGATGATTTTAGCTACAGTTTTTAATAGAGTCTTAAACTTGGTATTTGAAGTTCGTAATTGTTACTACCTTCACTGGCAGATAATTGGCTGTAGAGGTCTAAAATTTTGTATACCTCCTCTAAGATTTCGGGTATGTCGCATCTTTCACCGTTTTTTTTTTTTTGAAATTTGATATTTGGAGTTTGTAATGGGTACTGCCTCCCATGACAGAAAATTGCCTATACAGTTCCACATCATCGTATAACTCCCATATAACTCTAAGTCCCTATGTGAGAAATTTTGACGATGTTTGCCACTAGTTTCGCCAGAATTATTTCAAATTCTGTGGGTACCGCAGTGGGTACCGCTTCCTATGACAGAAGATTGCCTACACAAATTCACGCCTTCGTGTAGCTTCCACATAACCGAGGTACCGTTAATATTCGGTATTTTGATGATTTTAGCTATATTTTTCAACATAATTATCTTAAACTTGATGTTTGGAGTTCGTAAACAGAACCATCTGCTCTGGCAGATAATTGAAATTTTTAAGGGGCCGGACTTACCTATTTTTATACCCTCCACCATACATAGTATGGAGTATATATTAGATTCGTCATTTCGTTTGTAACTCATCGAAATAATCATTTTAATCACATTCTTGATCTACGTAAACTTCTAAGACGATTTAGCGCTGTCCATCAGTCCGTCTGTTGTAATCACGCTAGTGCCAAAATGAGTAAAGATATGAAGCTAAATTTTGCACAGATCAGTCTTTTGTTCGCGGGCAGTTCAAGTTCGAAGATGGGCTATATCGGTCCACGATATCGTATCGCTCCCACACAACGGTACCCACATTTTCCAATGGAATTGTCTGAAAATCTACAAAAGGAGTTCTTTCTGAGTCCTTTACCCTCTGGGAGAGGATTGTTTATATAGGTCAACGATAATGTATAGCCCCATACGACGGTACCCTCCGATATTTGGTATTTTTATTATTTAAGACACATTTTCCAATGCATTTGTCTGAAAACTACAAAAGGAGTTCTTTCTGAGTACTTTAGTCTCTGGGAGAGGATTGCTTATATAGGTCAACGATATTGGTACGGTACCCCCGATAATCGGTATTTTAATGATTTTAGCCACATTTTTCAATGAAATTGTCTGAAAATAAGTTTCTTTTGAGTAATTTGCCACCTGGGAGAGGATTGTCTATATAAGTCTTCGATATCGTATATCATCCTTACATCCGTACTCCCGATATTCGGTATTTTGATGATTGTAGCTAAAATTTTCAATAAAATTGTCTGAAAATCCACATAAGGATTTACTTTTGAGTACTTCACCACCTGGAAGATTATTGTCTATATAGTTCCACGATATCGTTTATCCCCAAAATAACGATACCTCCCTATATTCGCTATTTTGATGATTTTAGCAAAATTTTTCAATGGGTCTAAAAATCCATACTAGAAGTTCTTTCCAAGCACTTTACTCCCTGGAAGATAAATATCTATATAGGTTCAAGATATGGTATAGCCCACATACAACTGTATGTTAAGTTTGCTTAAAATCTAGCTATTATTTAAAAATTTTAACTCTTTATGTGGAGGTACCGAAAGGAGTGGGCCGATAAGTCGCATATTCACACTAGGACTTATGTAGGTGAAGGTATTTCCTTTTTAGAAGTTTTTTAGAAGTCTTATAATAATTCAAAAATGTTACCCCTGTGGATGTGGCACCAGAAGAAATGAACCGATTCTATTCATTTTCTCTTCTAACCTGAGGTTACGTGCCAAATTTTGTCGAAATGGGATACTCCATTCGAGAGTTACACATTGGCATTCCTAGATCGACTTTAAATGTCTAAACAAGTATTTCTCTTATGCCATATCAATTTCGAAGGGGCGTCCCCGATGAAAACCAATATTTTCTAACACTACTTATTAACCCACTTAGACTAGTTCATCCACTACCTCTTTATACCCTACACCACAAGGTGGTCAGGGTATTATGTCTTTGTGCATTTGTTTGTAACAGGCAAAAGGAAACGAGATAGACCCATAGTTCCTTTTGATGATCTGCATAGAATCATATTCTGAGTCGATTTATGCATGTCCGTCCGTCCGTCTGTCCGTCTGTCCATGTATTTTTGTAAACAAAGTACAGTTCGCATTTATTGCACGATCCAGATGAAATTTTGCACAGATCATTTGTTTGGCCCAAGGACGAACCCTATTGAAATTGGAGATAATCGGTCAAAATTTAGATATAGCACCCATATATATCTTCGCCCGATTTGCCTTTTATTGTGCACCAAACGTGTAATATCAGCCCGAATAGTATGGAATTTTGCACATACAACAAAAGTATGCCAAATTTGATCGAAATCGGTTCAGATATAGCTATAGCTCCCATATATATTGTTCATCCGATTTGTTTTTTTTTTGTCCTCCGCAGCCGTAATATGCACTCTGTAACAACAATATTTGGGGAAATATATCAAATATAGCTCAGAAATACATTTCCTAAATTTTATCGAGATCGGTTCAGATTTCGATATAGCTCCCATATATAACTTCGTCCGATTTACCTTTGATTGTGCATCAAACGTCTAATATTTTCCTAAATTGGATGAAATTTGGAACTTACGACCGAATTGAGTCTAGAAGCTAGTGTGTCAAATTTGGTGAAGATCGGTCCAGATATAGCTATAGCTCCCATATATTCTGTTCATCCGATTTGTCATATTTGTTACGCACAGCCGTAATACGCACTCCGTAACAACGATATTCAGGGAAATATATCAAATACAGCTCAGAAATATCTTTGTCAAATTTTATCGAGATCGGTTCCGATTTGGATATAGCTCCCATATATATTTTTATTCGATTTCAAATTAATTGTGCACCAAATGGGCAATACAAGTTCGAATTTAAAAGATACAAATGCTTCGGCATATTTAGTCCTTTGAACTTTAAATTATAATTATAATCATAGCGTGTATGATTGAATTCATCCATTAAAAAACTTGTAATTGTTATGTGGAGTTTTACTAAATTAGCAAAGTAATGTAGGGTATCATAAAGTCGGACCCGCTCGACTTTAAGACTTTCTTTACTGGTTTATGTTACTGATATTCGGCATTTCGACGAATTTAACTACATTTGTCAATGGACGGTTTTCTATATATCCTGCGTTAGTATATTTCTCGGACAGAAATATATTGCTTTCCGATATTCTGCATTTTGACAATTTATGCCGAAAACGGGATTGTTTCAAATTTGATATATAGAGTTTGTAGTGATGAATAGTCTGCACAGGCGCACATTTTATTTATATAGGTTCTATGTTTTCAATTTTGGTATTTAAATGAATGTTGGCCGATGTAGCCCATTTTCTAGACCGAAAATATTTTTCTCATATTTTGAAATTTGTTTCTTTTAGGTTTCACACATCCCAGTCAGATTCCTTCGTCGATTGGTACCCATGCCGGTGATGATGTTGGGATATTTGCTACTGGTCCACACTCACATCTATTCCGGGGAGTTATGGAACAACATACGATACCACATTTGATGGCATATGCTGCATGCATCGGGGATGGTCCAACTCTATGTAGTGATCATTAATTTCAATTTTAAGTAACAGTAAGCACTGGAAGAATAACAATTTAAAGTGAAAAATAAAATTGTTTGAAAAAAATGGATTTTAAATCTAGTTGCGATATGAATATTATCAGTGACTTTTGCAGGTAATTATTATAAGGCGACATCTGGTGGTGAAGTTTGAATTTTTCTCTCTAAAAATATGTCACCTGGAGTACAGTACTGGATTTGTACAGTACACAAAAAATTGATACAGCAAATTCACAAACTATTTGTTTTGGTTATTCTACACAACGCTAGGTGTCACTACTAATTGCAACAATCTATTCAATTAAGTTGAAATTGTTTATTTTACAAATAATTGGGTTCGGGTGGAGATAAAATGGTAATGATCGGTAAAAGCATCCAAGACTCAATATTCCCAAATAAAGGCCAACTCTATGATGTGTTACGTTTATTGTTATTTTCTGCTAGTAGGATCTAGAAGTTGTATCTTCAGCCTTATGGCTGTAGAGCGACCAAATTAGGACTAATCGAAAGAACGGTTTTAGGACCCATCTATCTTTGGACATTTCAAGTGGTACACCGCACATTTGTTGATATTTCTTGTTATTTTTACACCCTACAACACTATGTATTGAGGTATTATAAGTTTAATTGAGCCAAAAATTATGCAACACCTCGAAATATTGGTCCCAGACATAGGAAACTACATATGGATCTTCCTATCTCAGCGAGCCGAATTGATCTAGCTATGTATGTCTGTCCATGTTCTTTTTTAATCACGCTACAGGTCGCAATTATGGTCCGATCCTCACGAAATTGAAAATGGAGGTGGGGTTAGGTCAGCATAGAAGCCCATTGATTTTGGAGATTTATATTTAGGGGTTGAAATTAACCAAAAACACAAAATTTTCTTGATTTTGTTGTTGCTCTACAGGCCACAATTATAAGGCAATAGACGCGGAATATTGCAGGTAGTTAGAGTGAAGGGCCGGGCTTACAAAATTGGACGGTTGTTGGATAATATTTAGCAGATAAAATAAAATATAACTTTTTTAATAAACCGCGAATACTTTTAATCCGGTCAAATCACAAATACATTGAAAGGTTACTTCTGACCATTACAGTGATGCTGATAGCCAAGATATCGGATATAGAGCAAAATAGATACAATATACAGGGTGATATAAAAAAACAGCAACCAAATTCAGACTGCTTTCATTTCTAAGTCACTTGTCCGTCAGCTGTTAAAATTATTCCAGTGCCAGCTCATTATACTGTTTACAAGCGCACAAATACATTTTGGTGAGAATTTTCCAGGAAAAAAATTATTCGTGGCGGAGTTTAAGCGTGATGGTGTGATTTCTTTATATTTGGCTGGAAAACAACAAGTGGCAATCGTTAGAGAACACCAGCATTTAAATGTGAATAAATCCTTTGTGTCTCGTACAATCGCTCGTTACCGTGATACTGTTAGCGTAGCCCGATGTCGACGAAGGAAGTGGACGGAAGAAAACAGCAACATCAGCAGAAATGGTTAGAAAAGTAAAGAAGCGACTTTTTTTTTCTCCGACGAAAAAACATTCGTTGTCCAGCAGTTTGTAATCAAAAAAAAAAAAAAAAATGATCGTGTGAACAAAATGATCAGCTGATCAATGAAAATGTGCACCTTCGGTTGGCCACCAGAACTCAAGCACCGGCCATGATGATGTTGTGGGCCGCCGTAACAGTCGATGGTTGCTCTTCGCTCGTATTAATCGACCGTGGCATCAGAATAAATCAGCACCTTCGCACGCAGCACGCGAGTGCGAGTGAAGGTCATAATCCGTGCCAAAGGTGAACAATTCGAACATATCTAAACTTATTCTAAAATTTGATGCATTTTTTGCTTTTATTCAATAAAATTTAAAAAAATGTAAAAATTATGGCGTTTGACTTTGTTGCAGTTTTTTAAATTTCACCCTGTATATCTAAAAGAAATAGATCTTAGTTATGCTGCTTATAAGTCAAGAACTGTTGGACTGATTTTCACAATGCTCATCAATTTGGAATGGTTTCTTGCCAGAAAAGGAAAAAAAACTAAGAAAATCGCGTAAAAAATTGAATATTTTAATTTTTGTCATACTTTTTATCCCATGCGATTTTTTCAATTAGACTTACAATTTTGAAATGTAGTTTTTCTAAAGCTTTTCTACACACCGCAACACTATGCGTTGAGAGTATTTTACATAGGTCGCAACTATCGTCCGATCCCCCCAAATTTTTGCACGGGGTAGGGTTAGGGCGATGCACATTTATGGGTTCAAATGGACCAAAAATTGTCCTAGAAATCACAATTGAAAACCAATCGATGCGGAATTTTGCATGAGATGATAGTTAAGGACAGGGAAGAAGTATAGCATTTTGGATGACCATTGGATTATATTTAACTGTAAACTGGACTACAACTTTCGTGTAAAATTGTTTTGAATACCTAACAACACGACGGAGTGTGTAAATATTGGGTAAGGATAAGATCTGGGCAGGGCTCTATGACATTATTGCAAACAACAGACAAAATCTTCTTCCTCTTACGGCTATTTTATATCGCATGAGATGTGTTTTAGTCACAAATTTAATCCGAATATGCTGTAAATTGGCAGCATGTGTTCTTGTTATGTAAGAAATATTCTCGTATTTTTCAACCGAATTTTTTGAAAATCTGCAACTCTCCAAAGGGGTGAAGGGTATTCAAAGTTCGGCCCGGCCGAACTAACTGCTTGTTGTGCCCTCAGCCATATGGCTAGAAAGGGTATATATCATTTGATACGGTCAAAACGAGCCTAGTCGACTAGGTCTAGGTTAGATTCTAGGTCTCTTTGGACCAAATCCGTTTCAGGACACTTGGAGTCGATCTAGTGATGTCCGTCCGTCTGTCTGTCTGGCTGGCTATTGCGCACGATAACTCTCGAAGGAAGTATCCGTTTTGATCCAAAGTTGGTACATCGTAATATTATTGTCAAACTTAGATCGAGTTCGGAGATGGGCAATATCGGTCCACTCCTTCTGGTAACTCCCCCAAAAAAGGTCAAAATTTTCAAAAAAAAAAAAAAAAAAAAAAAAAAAAAAAAAAATTGATAGGTCAGGTGCGAAAATGGACAATATCGGTTCACTCTATCAAGTACCTCCCCCACAAAGGGTCAACATTTTGAATAATTACAACTCTTATAAAATGTAATGTAAGAGTCCGATTGTCTTTCACACATACCAATCGTTTTATTAACCCAAGGTCTGGTGTTAATACGGAATACATCGGCCCACTCCTTCTGGTACCTCTCTCACAAAAGGTCGAAATTTTCAAAAAATATATTTTCCCAATATTTTTATTAACCCAAGGTCTGGTGTTAAGGTGGAATATATTGGTCTACTCCTTCAGGTACCTCCCCCACAAAAAGGTCGGCATTTTCAAATTTTATATTTTGTGCACAGAAAGAGAAACGATAATCCGATTTTGCTCCAACAAATCCAAATCCGATTCCATTTAGACTTGGCAGATCTGCATATAGCACATCTGAATATACGTAGGATATATACAAGGGGTCAAAATTTTGAATAACCATGAAGCTCATCCGATCCGAAATAAGCATCACGTTATCTTTATATTTCACGTATACAAACATTTCTTGCTAACGTAAGATCTGTTGTGAATATAGAGGGATATTTCGGCCCTCTCTTTCTGGTACCTCCCCAACAAAGACTCAAAATTTGAAATATCCATGAAGCTCATTAAACGCGGAATTAACACCCGATTCCATTCAGACTTGGTACATCTCGTTATTATCCATCAACACAAAATCTCTTATAAAGATGGTAGAGATCGGGCCATTTCTTTTGCTACCTGCCCACATACAGTTCGTGATTTTGAAAAACAAAACGCTCAAGGAAAGCGAAATAAGCATCTCCTTAGGGTACAGATCTGTCGGCAAAACCGATTGATTCTTTTTAACTTGATTTTGTCATTTTTATATGGCATTAAATATTTTCAATTTGTGTTGTCATTCCGTTTGTAACACATCGAAGTATAAATTTTCGAATCCACAAAGTATACATTATTGATAAGCATAAAATTCTGCGTCGTTTTAGCGATTTCCATCCGCCTGAAATGAAAAAGTTTCATTGAATTTTACTCTAATGTGGGGACTTTTGGTATTGAACATGGGTTATATAGGTCCATGTTTTGGTATACCCCCATATAATTGTAACGAAAGATTTAACGTTTTTAGTCGTTTTAGTCACAACATTAACCCGAATTTGCTGTAAATTGGCAGCATGTGTTTGGATTATGTAAGAAACCAATTTGAAAAGATCTGTCAATACAGTCTAAGTTTTGGTATAATCCCCATATAACTATACCTCTAGATATTCGGCAGTTTAAATATTTTTGTGTCGCACTTTTTACCGAAAATGTTTCAAATTTGAAGTTCCTAATGGGTACTACATCCAACCACAACCACATTTGCCCATACAGGTCCACGTACTTGCCCAATATAACAGTAACTCCCTACATTCGGTATTTCTGTGATTTTAGCAGTATTTTTCAACGGAAAAGGGTGAACTTATTGATATGTTACTTGTTTTTCAAACAGGAATTCTGGCGAAAGCTTCTTCGTGAGCTCTGAAATTAAATTTAGATTGAGTTCGTAACTTTTTAGACATTTCCCGTTTTATTCCAAAATCGTACAAACTGTCCAAAATTTTAATTTCATAGCCTGTACAAATATCACAAAAGGGTGGAATATTCGGATATTTGGAACAAGATATCAGATTTGATTATATTGATATACATCTGCCAAATTTAGTCCAAATCGTTTCAGATTTGGATATAACTCCCATATACTTTTCCCTCTAATTTGATGGAAATGATACTTCCCAACGATTCTACATTTATCTTATTTGGGTGAATTTTGAGTAAAGTGCCGACTAGAATAGATTCAGCAATGTTTGAACCGCCGTAATACGCATTCAATGACGATAATAGTTGGTATGATTTAGTTGGCACAAATTTCCAACATTAGGGGTTGGGTATCATATAGTCGTAGTATGGAGGGTATATTAAGTTCGTCATT